TCAATTTCTAATAGACTTATTTATGTGAACAGAAAGGCATATTTTAAAAGGAGAAAGGTAATAAGTCATCAGCTAGTTCCAAAAACCCTGAGGTAATTTGCATGATAAAGATGTGAGTCTCTCAGTATTGTTACATGAGAGATGGTAGAGACTCATACATTTATCTAGCATAGCACTCCTTATCCTCAAAACTTTGTGAAGTTTTATTCTCCCATTGTTTGTCACAAAATCCCCTAAAGCTACAGATATGCCTTTCTTTGTCCCAGAAAATTCCTTTGAAGCTTGAATTGAGCTTAAACATGTTTAGAATTGCAGTTTTCTCCTCCCTTGAAAAATGTCCATCATGTGGTTTCATGGCACTGCAAAGAAAAAGCAACATTTATTCCTGCACAGGCAACACGAAAGGCTTTCTACACAGAACACTGATCAGAGACATTCCCGCACTCCATCTTTCCAACTGGAGTGGGTAGATTAAGAGATCCATTTTAACTCCCCCAGGGTCTTGGAATGCAGTCCCTTAGTTCCAGGAGGGAGCAGAACCAGTCCACTTGAGCATCTCCCCTGATTTCTTTCTGCTCTCAAACCATCTGCTTCTCTGTGGTAATAGTCTTTTGCTGTTTGTTAACCTAGTTAATCCTCTAGCATAAACTGTAGTAATTTATGCTGGATGTTTGGGTTTCATGTGGTACTAATGTTATCTAATGAACTGTGGCTACAGAAACATCTGTTCTATACCATAGTTGATTTTTTTTCTTTTTTAATCCTGGTGATTAGATATACAAAAAATACTTAGGAGCTCATTAGGTTGCAAAGATTAGAACTCAAGCCTTCAGTACTGAAATAGGCCAGATTTAACACCACCCATGCAACCTTAATTTAGCTCCCACTTGTTTATGCATTGTTTGATATTGATGCATGTTTATTACTTGCTGCGTTTTCACTTGCCAAATGAAAACGGGTCTGAAGGAAGGTTGAATGGAACACACGTAAGATTGTGGCATCCATATTTAAGCATACAACCAGAAGTTAGAGAACATATCTTTATTTAGTTTTGTATGTAGTATTTATATGATACAATTGAACAATACAAAAAAAAAAATGTATGCAAGAATTCATTTACAAGTAAGAAAACTGCAAAAGTGGAAACTAAGCTATTAATATTAATGAAGGCTATGCTCCAGAATAAAGTGAGTGAGAAATGGGTATGCTAAAACCAGCCATTAATACACTGTTTCTACTTAAAAAGGAAAGTAAGAAAAGTGCTACTTAATTGTAATGTTGCAGAGTTAATAATGCAGTAGAAATTTTAGCTCTTCCTAATTTGAGTGCTTAATTTCTCAGTCTTAATGTTTGGGTAATGTAGTTTCCAGATTTAATTTGTTATATTTATTTGTTTGTAACAACTTGAAAGGAAAATAAGAGAAACACATTGTGAAGCCTCTGTAACGAGATTTTAGTGCTACTAACATGCCTTATGTTTTCTGTAATGTTGCTGATTGCATTTAGAGTCATCTCAGCAGTACTAAATCATTTCAACATTTTACTCCTACCTCCAGTGTCATTAAAAGTTCTCCATGTTTAGGAAATGCATTTGGAAAAAAAACCAAAAAAAACCCCAAAACAAACAAATGAACAAACAAAAAACCCTCATGTTCCTGTATGAAAATGTCACCTTATAACATCCATAACTTTTTAAAAATAAAACCCAGATTTTCTTCAGGCATGAACCCTTTATTCTTCCCCTGTGGGACTCCAAAGGAGCTATTTAAACTCATGTGATCATGCATTTAAAGGCTGGACTGACTCAGCAGAGTGCTTGACTATATGCTTAAATTCTATTGCAATCAATAGAATTTGAGCATGTGCTTAAATATTATGTTGAAAAGGGAGGGATTTACACATGTGCTTAAAAGCTAAGCATGTAGCAAAGTAGGCCCATAATACGTTGAAGCAAGTTGAAGGAATTCAGGTTGTAAAAGCCCTACGTTTGGGGTGACTGACTTCATAAGTAAAATATTTTGATACAATTTTAATATATCATCCAATATATAAAGCACAATGCTGTCATTATTATGGTTTGTGAATTAGCTAATATAGGATTGTTTCTGCCTGTCAGTTTAAAATATGTACGCCAAAATTAAGAATGCTTATTGCTGAATATCTGAATGTACGTTTTCTACTCTTGAATATAGTTTGCTCTTATTTAGTTCCTGAAGTATTTTAAATCATTTAGAGCAATGAATGCTATCTTTAAAAATGCAGCTGCATATATAAGAAGTTATAAACACGTGTGGATATCTAATGCCAAGATCTCACACTCCACAATTTTACATGTTCTGACCTCTTTTTATCTTATTCTTCCAGTGTTTCCCTGTAATACGTGACTTGATTATTTTGAGGTGCTGAATCACTGAACAGGGTCACGTTCAGGTTGGCTGAAGGGCATAAACAATTCCACTTTTTTTCATTTACTTCTGTCTATACAAAGCTTTTTCTGCATTAGAGATTTCCTTTTCTGCTGGTGATCCCCCTTGCACTCATGTTAAACATCTTCTGCCCTGTACTGTGAAAGCGCCGCGTGTTTCCCACAAGTCACTTGGGTATTTTTATTTTCAAGAGCATATATTCAATTTTCAATTTGTTTTGTGATAGCAAATCGACAGTTGTCAATAGTACCATGACGTGTGTGATGCTCATCCCCTGTCTTGAGTGTTACACCCTACCTGTGGCTGTGCTGCCACTGCTCATCTCCGTGCCTCTCAACAGAGCTGAGTGTATGCCGTTTGCAGAGCTTCTTCCCTGCCCCCAGAGCACTCCTCCCTGGGAAAATTGGGGTCAGGGAAGAGAGAAGGGAGAGAGTGGCGAGCGTTGAGCATTGATGGGTGGTAAGTTGAGGAAAACCCCATTGTGGTCTCTGTTTGTCCCAGGGGACAGATTCTAGCTCTCAGCAGGACCAGGTCATTTGGCACATGGTGGGAGGAAAGGTTTAGGATGATGGAGGAGGAGTCTTGGGCCACAGACCTCACAGGTGCCATCAAGCAGTCAAACTTCACAGGAGTGTTATTGTGAATCTTTTCTTTGGTATCACAATTGTGAGAAGTTAAAGAAAAAATATTGCCCTTGGCTATGATGTGTTGTGTTGACTGAAGAGCAGACGGACGATCCTTTGTCAAAAGGCAGAACTGAGCCTCAGGTATTGGTCAGATTCTTGTGTCTTCAGGAGCAAAAATGCTGGAGGGAGTTGAGAATTTGGTTGATTTCTAGAAAGCTCTGTGACCATCTCTGTATTGGCTTGTTGATTACAGTGACGAATCCTATCCCTGTGGCTGTTGTTGCTCTCCTAGAGCAGGGATGTAGAAGGGGACTCGTAATTTTGGTGGGTGGTCAGGCTGTATCATATATGTAGATTTGGTCACCTGTGTAACAAGCACTATAAGGCAGGGCAGGACCCAGAGAAGTAAAGTACCAGCTGTAACAGGGACGTGAAGCTTACCTGCGTGTAGGTATATTAATCAGTGAAGAAGATACGCAACTTCTGAAATATTGTTATGAAAAATAACCTTCACTAGCATGTGTGAAACCTGCCAAGATGCAGAGGAGCATGATGCTCCTGCCTGATACACTGTCAAACGCTGCTCTTCTGAAACCACGTCTTGTAAAACTGAGAAAGACGCCGTGCCAGTTGCCTAATGCTTCTAAAAATAAGTGTGAGCTGCTCAGCCCCACTCCAAATTTTAGCAAGTCAACGGAACGGTGCATAGTCGGTGAGCGTGTCTAACATGCTGTGCCACAACTGGTGACTTACTACAAGAATTATATCAAGCTTGCTAAATATAGAAAAGCTGCTTATAACTGCATGCCCCAAACCCGGTCCCTCATTAACATCTGCCCCCACCTTCTGCTCCCCCCCATCCCGAT